AGTTATGGCATTGAACGATGTCGCGCTTGGTGTAAGGCTTTTCCACAACAACGCTGGTGTAATAAAGGCGTGTGACCTTGTAGATGTCTTCGACCTGGGGCGTTCGGTCAAGGTCAACGAAGAATAGTGGGAGCGGTATTTTACTTTTTATTCCAGGCTGTTCTCTATCCTCCTTGAATATGTTTACTATCTGGCGAACATGGAATCCCATACCCATGAGCTCTTCTTTTATAGCATCTGTTGGCGTAGATGGGTGCAGTCTTCTGATAACGACCCTGAGCGCCCTCTCTTGACGCAGTTGATACGTGTGGTAATCCGCCTTGGTATCAGATAAATATTTTATAATTTTTCTGTAAGTTTCTGGAGCGTCGGGCATTAATTTAGTGTCATTGGTGCGGCTTTGGCATAAATATTTTCCTGAGCCCACTAGGTTATTCAATTGGTGACACATTAACTGAAAGTTTTTAATATTCCAAAGGAATATTGGTGGGGGTTTGGGTTCCCTGTGGGTGGGTGCTGCTTCCATTTCTTCGTTTTGTGTATTTGATAGCACTTGAAATGGGTTCTGAGTAAAAAACGGCGATTCTTCACCAGTCTGAGTTGTCTCATGATTGTTTTGTTGTTGTGAGGTACCAGGTTGGGGATCCACTTCTTCAACAGAGCTCCCTGGTGTGGCTGGTGGAGTATTTCTTTTCGAACGCCTTGTTCTTTTTTTAATAGGAGAACTCATTGTAGTATCAAGGCTCCTGGACCTAGTATTTTTGCCCTTGCTCGACATTAGCATATGATAATATCGCATTTCATATTATAAGTGATAGGAAAAATTGTAAAATGAGAAGTGATAACAAATTTTTTTTTTTTTTTTTAACACGGAAATATATACGCGTGCTTAGAGAGGACTGATCGGCACAGAACCTCCTCGGACGGAGAGCCAGAGCCCACTGGTGGGATTAGCGATGTTATGGCCGGCCGTTATCAGTAACTAACCTGAGGTCTATTTACACTGTTCACTATTAAGCTGTAAATAAGTGATTACTCACCTTTTTCTTTTGTTCAGTAACAAACTTAATTGTTAATATAACAGGTAACAATGTTGTTTCGCATTAAAGTTGAACACTGCCACTATTAATGAAGAATTTTGTAAGAGATGACCTGACGTATGTTTAACTTAGGCTAACGCATGCGCAGAACAATAATAATACTAATGCTAAAACTTTAGCTGTACATTATTAATGAAATACAGAAATATTGTCATTTTTCTTATTAGTGTTGCCCAAATGCGAGTCCAAGACGAGTCTTGGTCTTACAAACTCAGTCTTGGTCATGGTCTTGGTCTTGCGCAAGAGTCTCGCAACAGTCTTGCAGTTACGTATTAGCTTATTACTATAGAGATGTCAGTGTAAGTTTTTTTAGAACGGAGAAACTTAACTAAGCCCGAATGAAAAATTAGAGGAGTTAAATGCATAAGTATATTGTTTATACCAATTCTTTAAATATAGTAACTAAAATTGTCAAGTATTAGTAACTATTTTGACTTAATTTTTATTTTAAAAAATCGATCCTTGGTCTTGGTCTTGCGAAGTCAAAGACCAAGACCGATTTTGGGCAACACTATTTCTTATATATTTGACAAAAGTTTAAGGTTTTTAGGCGAAGTGAATGATCTTGTTGATTTCTAATTTTTTATCTTGCGTAAGGACGTATGTCAATTTGTCTATTTCAGTTGAATAACTTGGCTAATAAATCTTGATCTGCAATGTTGCAGTATTTGGTAGGACATAGTAAAGTGGTGTATTGAGTCTTGAATCTTCCGCTTTGTAGCATTTAGCGCACAGAGATTCAGCATTAAATGTTATAGTACGCTTTTGAATGTAGAGATGTTGTTGTTGCTACTTAATCATAGTTGAGACATCAGTCTGATCTTTTCTATGCGGATTTTTAAATTAATATATATATTTCACCACTTTCCAGAGAGTTAATGTGTCGATAAAGGGGATAAAATGTGCTATTTAGGGCATTTTCTATACAATGCATGTGGCTTCTATATATATATATATATATATATATATATATATATATATATATATATATATATATATATATATATATATATATATATATACAATGCATGTGGTTTTCCGATGTTTCATGAGATTAATGTAATAACATCTAGTCGGTACCTGCTTTAGCCATATATCTTCTGCTCCTAGTCCAATAAAATATTTTTATCGCAATTTTTTTTTACATTTTCTTCGGTTTGTATTTTTTCGAAGAGCTCTATTGTGACTAATTTATGTTTGAAATGTAGATAAAATATCAGTACTATATTAAAATGAAACAAATTATACCGACCGTGGTTTCAATAATTTTTTAAGGTGAAAACAAATTGAGATTATCATTTCACATTTGGAAAAACCCTCAAATATTGTGTACACTGAAATATTTAAACAATTGTCTCAAATTTTCACAGGGTTCAATTTTTTTTTTTAAAGTTACTTTGTATTCACAATTTTATTTGACTAACTCAAAATGCTCACAAATGTTACTGTATTATTTTCTTTTTAAGTACATATAAAAATAAATATACGAATATACAAGAGTAGAAAAAAAATGTTAGAACATGCAAATTCATTCATGATTATGGTCGAATTTAGACCACTTGGCGATCACTAGTCAAAATATATATTAGTCTAAAATTCTAATGTTTTTTTGAAATTCCTCATCGGAAATTTATTAATTATTGAATAATATAAGAACACACAATCATTGAAACTCTATTGAATAATATAATGGACGATAATTATAGTGAGATAAGACTACATTCAAGCAATATGTACAGAAAATACAAAATAAACTGAAGGAAAATAACAATTAAATAATAATCAAAAAATATATATGTATAATAAAATTAAATATAAGTAAATTTAAAAAAAAATCAGAAGGAGGGAATTCCAAGCTAGGCTTGTCCCTCCAACTACAGAGGGAAAAACAGGACTCCAGAAGATCTTTATGCAACTCTATCAATAGCATCGTTGGTGCTAAAGTCAGCGAAGATTAGAAATTTATTATTATATAATTTCTAGAGAGTACTTGAAAGCCTTCAGTGCTTGAACCATGCCCTGATGATGACCCACATGTTTGGGTTGAAACGTTGGCACAAATAAAACAAATTTGATAATGACTGCGTCCTGAATATTTATTACCCATTATATAATTTCTAATTTGTCTAGTTGTTCTAAATATTTTAAAATTCAACCATACTATTAATTAAACATTTAGTTTCTGTGGTAGTTATTTTTTTTCATTTCAAAAAATTCTTTAAGAGTAATGCATACAAAATCCAAAAATACTCCCACTTTCTTAACTTGTTTATGATTCTGTTTAAATATTGAAAGTTAATTACTAAATAAATACAGCAACGTAAAATAAATAATTTATTTATTGCACATTGCTAATATTGTTTCTTGAATGTTGTCAATTAAAATATATACTCTTTAACAAAACATAGGTATTGGTTTTATTAATATCTAGTTTTAAATTAATTTGAGTATATGATAACTAACCTTTAGGTTATTCATTTATGGTCACATATTTATTACTTAGTTCAATTATTTATTAGAGTTAGTTCAATAATTGATCGCTTTACTTTAAAATTGGCCATTTATACTTTATTATTATCGATAATTTCCGAAGCTAGTTATGAAGGTAATTTTTATTAATTGGTATTTAACGACTTTGTCTCAGTTTTGGGACAATTGTAGAGTTGAATAATGAGTACATTCAATTACTGCATTTAAAAAAAAATATGCAATATAAATAATTACAATTAAAATTTAACTGTAACTACAATATACATACGTTGCTTAAATTTAATATTTGCGTATTATTTAATATAAAACAAAAAAATCAATATTATATTTTAAAAATTATTGCACTCCTGGGATGGACTAAAGCGACAAAACATTTAGTTCAGATAATGAAGAGGAATTAGTCAACTGCTGATTTAAAGAAGATCAAAACAGAAAGAGAATTATAGAACAATATTGATAAGGGGATAACAATGGAGAAAAACTTGATGGAACATTTTTTTTTTTCAAAATTCAAGGAAATGTCCTTAGTAAATTAATTACGGTTTTCTTAAAGAAAATTTTGTCTACTTTACGATGTGCTTAGCTTGGAATTTAATTATCTTGAATAGTTTTTGAGCAATCATCTCTAGAAAGACACAAAAATGGTCTTAACTCCTTTTTCGTTTGGAATGGGTCCAGGCATCAAACGTACTTTTTGGTTGGAAATATTGTCTAGAATCATGTGCATTTCGTGATCAATCGGATTGAGAATGGAGCAGGTGCTTAAAGAGGAGAGATTTGAAAGAGGAAACTGATAGAGTGTGTCGAATATCGGGAGGGTAGTTGCTACAACATATGTATGTATCATCACTGTATGATTCCCTAAAGACTCCTCCCATAGAGAGTGATATTCCTCGGCGATACGATATACCAATCGAGGCAAGATGTCGATATAGTTATATTTCTATCTATTGCATTATAGCAGTCACACAGAGCAAGATAATCCGTAGAGATAACGACAAAGTTTTTTTTAATTTTTTTGCAGAATCGTTTGACAAAATATTTTATTGAGAAAAAAAAAATACATTTTGCCTCAATTAAGGGAATTGAGTACTTAAGGTGTATGAAATACAAACATACCATATGTACAATAAAAGAAAATCAAGATTATAAAAAAAGAAAAGAAAACTTGGAATAACAGAATAAATCAAACATGAGACGTTATTCCAAATAACGCAAATAACGTCATTCCTTTATAACAGAACGGGTATTTCCTACATACTTACTATAAAATGTCACATTCACCACAAATACACTGCATTTCATTCAACAACTCATAATCACCGAAATCTTCTCCTTATGTCCTTTCCCTTCACTTTTTTTTTTTATTATTATCTCTCCCCTGCTTCACTAGTAATTCAATTTTTAAATCAAAACTTTGCAAAATGCAAATCGAGTAAATCATTATAACATTTGGAATTTCTTTTATATTAATTCATCATTGTAATTCTAAGGAGAGAATAAAGTTCACTATTCTAACATCAAATTTACTTGATATATTGTGACCAAGTTGCAAATTTATTTTCTAAAATTATATAAAAATAGAATACTAGACATTTTAATAAGTGTCCAAAGGTTGGAATCAGTGGAGCTCGATTTTTATTGTTATTTCTGTGAGACATAATAAATAGACAAAAAAATATTAGCTTGCGGGACAATCATTTTGATTTTTGGCAGACATTGATTAGAAAAGTGCAAATATTTGCACATATTGTTGCTTCTGTAGTATGTTGATTCTTTTCTATATAAGTTGCTAATTAGTGAAACTACAGTTATTTGCAGATCAAACATTAGTAAAAGGAAAAATTATCACTCTATTGTCAACCAAATCAGTAATTTTAGTATATAAGGAGGCCAAAATTGGGAATAGGTATCAGTGCTCCAACATATCTCACAATGTCCAAGCTGGTTTTCTTCCTCTTTTTTGCAGTCTGCGTGGCAGTAGTACAAATGGCACCAGGTATGACCGTAGAATCCTTCTATAATTTGATAATTTTATACAAAATACTCAGGCACGTAAATACTTAAATTCACAACGCCCTTTAGTTTTTTAGTTAAGCACGAACCCGGTGTATTGCCATCAAATATTCAGATTCGAATTTATTACGGGCGTAGTATTGTATTACATATGAAGGTATGTGAAAGAAAAACTCTTTGGAATTTAATTGATTATATATTTTTTTTTTCTTTCAGCTGCTGAAAATGAAGATGATTTATTCGATCTATCACCGGATTTAGATGGTAAGAAAATAAAAACAAAATAAGAAATATGCCCTAATTTGTACTATAATTAAGTTAGTCCTCACTTAATTTCAATACACTTTCATTGTATTGGATTATGGAGTAATTTTGTTTTTTACATTTATTTTTATATTTATTATTTATGTTTTACTTTATTGCATTTCCAGTTGAGGGACGTTTCAATATTCCATGGGAAAAAGGATGGGCTGTCGTAAAGCCTATCCTCAAAGAAGCAGGAAAAGCAGCAGGAAAAGAGATAATCAAAGGAGTCTCTGAGGGAATTAAAAAGAATTAAAGTATATTAATTGTATATGTTAGTAAATAAATCACAATAAATATTTTTATGAAAGTGTATTGCTTATTGAAATTTATTAATTTAAAACACCATTACCAATTTTTTTCGAGCTTGAATTCTTGTATTACGCACACGTGAAGACCGAAGAGCCAAGGAAAAAAAAGGATCATTCCGTAGTGTGTACGTTGTCAGCCGTATGGCCATACAAAGACGTACGGCAACAACCAGCCCAATTGTGGTGGTATGGGTCACGAAAGCACTTCCTGCAAAAAGATTTGAGAAAGACTCGCAAAATCTACCAACTACAACAGCTATCTCAGGCTACTCTTGCTCTTACCCAAAAATATATCCCATAATCAGAAGACTGTGATGGAATGAATCGACATAGAACCAAACTAGACATATACTTACACGAGAAACGCATGGACATTGCACTAATAACAGAAACACATCTGACACCACATTCTAAATTTTACATCTATGGTTACAAAATCTACATAAATGACCACTCAGACAGAACGTCACATGGAGGCACTGCCATACTTATCAAAACCACTCCAAAACATACTCCATTACAATTACCCATAACACCAAAGATTCAAGCTACAGCCATTACACTATCAACAAAACATTACTCTTGCTGCGGTTTATCGCCCTTCGAGGTATGTCTTGACACCCACGATGTTTACTAATTTCTTTAAACGTCTTGTTTAGTGTTGCCCAAAATCGGTCTTGGTCTTGCACTTTGCAAGAGCAAGACCAAGGCCACCTAACTGTTGCAAGACCAAGACCAGGACTGGGAAAAAATCGATTTTTTAAATAAAAATTAAGGCAAAATAATGATTAATTCTTGACAATCTTAGTTACTATATGTTAATAATTGGTATAACCAATGTACTTTTGCATTTAACTCCTCTAATTTTTCATTCGGGCTTAGTTAGGTTTCTCCCATCTAAAAAAATACAGTAATATGCTAATAAGTAGCTGTAAGACTGTTGCGAGACCCTTGCGCAAGACCAAGACCATGACCAAGACTGAGTTAGCAAGACCAAGACTCGTCTCGCTCTCGCATTTGGGCAACACTAGTCTTGTTAGATGTTTTCGTGCAGGAGGATCCAGACTATCTACCCCAAGAGGAAGGAATCTTAGGAAAACAATTGATGATTATCTCTGCAATAGTAAATAAACTTAATTGAATAATAAAGCAATTAATTTTTAACATTATGTAACGATCGTCATAAGTAAGGATATTTTTCCAATAATTGGATATTATTGTTACACTTAAACTTCAAAAGAATTCAAAGTAAAAAAAATGTTGGCACGAGGCATTTTTTGTTTAGTCTTACGAGAATAAATTTAAACATCATTATAAATTTATTACTATTGTTCTCTCCTGCTTTAACTTAATAAATATGTATTTTCTAAACATTATTAAAATTATTTCATTAGAAACTGCCATGTCTAAATCAGTACTGATATGGGGATGTAGCCTAGTAATAGAGTTGAAACTTGACAGTAAACTATGCAAACAAATATGATAGACCGATGTGTACTTTGGAAATTAACCTATCTAATACAACCAAGCAATGCTGTATGTCTATATAGCCAATCCAACACAACAATTTTGGGAACATTTGTCGTCTATTTGTGAAATTATTTTTGAAATTATATCCTAATTTTATATAAACTTTTTAATTAATAAATTAATGAAAAATGCTGTATTGTGTGATATATATAATTTTAGGAGGTATTTGTTAATCTATCACTAACATTTAATGAAAAAAAGAAAATTAACAGTAAATTTATAGACCAATTTATAGACTATTTATAAAATAGAGAGATGTTTAAAAAAAAAATTAAAATGACAGTAATTATTCAGATGGGGGCCGCACGGGTTTCGCGTTATTCACAATCACTTCGGCCATATTGTTCATGAAACGCAGAAAACAGTCTTTCGGTTGAATCCGGAATCATTTGGCTCCATGGACAAGTGTGACCAAAGTGATTGTGAATCACGCATAACTCGTGAGGATCTCATCTAAATAATTTAACAAATGGGTAATAATTAATAGATATATTTGTACGATAGTATAAATAAAACACTTATACATTTAAACATACGAGTATTACAAAATATAACATATATAATGAAAACAAAATCCCACTGCAGCTTTTCTCTGAGATATCTTCTGCAATTTACATTTAGAATTGGCATCAAAATCAAAGGTCACTCCAGGATGATTTTGATCGAAACTCGATGATGGATCGAAACTCGACGAAAATATTTAGGATTTTGATCAAAATTTCATGTTTCGTACGCCCTTACGACGGTAATTTGTGAAGATACAAGAATTTTTTTCAAGAGTTTACGTGCGAGGGAGGAATGTTTCAACCAACATTACTTCTCCATATTTCAGTACCATTTTTATCTACAATAGTTACTTATCTTTAATTTTAGGTTATAATTGGAAATTTTTAAACGACACAGCCTTTTGTGTTTAACATTAAGATAAAGAATAAAACAACCAGTCAATGTTCATGCATCATCAAAACAGAAAGCTGATCAGCAAAAAAAAAAAAAAGATAGATGAAAAACATGTAACAGCCAACCAAATTACATAAATGTGCCAAAAATAACAGTTACAAAAAAATGTATAAAAAGCGAAGAATAATTTTAAAAAAAGGTATTTAAGGCTAAGCATATTTCACAGAAGTTAGGTAATGCTGTTGATTATAGGAGTGATAGTAGAAATTTAAATAAATGTTATTCTGAAATATTGAACATCTTGGACGAGTCTAATGTATCTAATTTTTTAACTATGCGTGATTTGTGGTTATGTGATAACTTTTGTTTGATTTAGTTTTCATTTTTTTTCTATTATTATCTGTATTTGTTTTGATATATTTATATATTTTGGTTGGTAATTAAACTTTTTTCGTTGTTGTTGTTTTTTTTTACCTGTTTAATAAAAACATTCCCTAGCTGTGAATACCTCAAGGCAGTTTCTTGGGTCCAGCACTTTTCAACATTTAGTGTTCAGGCAACCCACAACAATCTGAAACACTGTTATTAAAACACATAAAACAAAAAAAAGAACTTAATCATACGATACGGACTTCTTTCTAGGCTACTTGACAGACGTTCTAAATAATCTGTGACTAATAAATTAACTATTTACAAAGTCCTCATTAAACCACTTTGAACATATGGGATCGAACTATGGGGAACAGCAAAGAAATCAAATATAAAAATCATCCAGTCATTCCAGTCAAAAGTCCTACGGAAAATTGCAGAAGCACTCTATTATGTTCCTCGCGCGGGCTCATTACCCCGTATGGGGAGCGTCCCACGGGTGGCGGATGTGGGGATGGTCGGTGGAAATTTCTTGGAAGTTCCTCCCGGCTAAGTCCGATGGACTCGCTGACCAACAATGAGAGGGGCCCTCCAGACTTGCTGGAGGGAGGGGACCTCCAGACTTGCTGGAGGTAGGGGCCCACCAGACTTGCTGGAGGGTGTGACGTAGGATTGAACGCCCTACTCACATATCTTTAGTTCACCAAACACCACAAAAAGTCATGGATCTTCCTAAGGTAAAACGCTCATTATCCGGAAGTAAACTAGTCCCCCGTTCGGGTCTCCGGGTGGGGACTGCTTTAGGGGATTCATGGCGCAAGTTGAAATATAGGGATTTAAATATTGGTACGTGGAACGTAAGGAGTTTAAACACAGCAGGGGGGCTAAAATCGGTCGCGAATGAGGTAAATGGGTACAATTTGGATGTCGTGGCTCTGCAAGAGGTTCGCTGGCCAGGGGAGGGCTCGATGAGGGAAGGGAAGTACACTATTTGGTACGGAGGAAGCGAGAATCATTGTTTAGGTACCGGATTTCTAATTAGGCGTAGATTACTATCCGCTTTGAGGGACGTACAATTCTTTAGTGATAGAATTTCGGTAGCTACATTTCAGGGACGTTGGTTTAAAATCGCATTAATAAACATACATTGTCCGACCGAAGACAGTGACGATGAAGTCAAAAGTGAATTTTACGATAAACTCGAATGGGTTTATAATAAACTACCACGAAACTACATGAAAATAATTGTAGGTGACGCGAACGCAAAGGTAGGAAGGGAAGAAGTTTATATTCCGACGATTGGTAAAGAAAGTTTGCACGAATATAGTAATGATAATGGGATCCGTCTGATAAACTTTGCCATCTCGAAAAACCTGATAATTAAAAGTACAACGTTTAAACATAAGGATATTCATAAATACACTTGGACATCACCGGATTCGCAAACACGAAATCAAATCGATCATGTCTTGATACAACACAGCTGGCAAAGTAGTATAATTAATGTACGGTCTTATCGCGGAGCAGAATGTGGGTCGGATCATGAATTAGTAATCGCGAAACTTCGACAAAAACTTAATATAAAAAAGAGAAAAGAAAACCGTTTCGATTTTGAGAATTTTAATTTGGAAAAATTAAAAAATCCATCAATTAGAAACCAATTCGAGCTAGATGTTCAGAATAGGTTTGAAGCTTTAGAGCTTCCTGACGAGGACCACGAGGATATTGACAAGTTATGGATAGAGATCAGAGATAATATTAAAGCGGTCGGTAACTCGTGTCTAGGAAAAAAGGAAAATAAGAATATCAAACCGTGGTTTGATGAAGATTGCTTAAACATGTGTGAAAAAAGAAAAGCCGCTAAATTAAAAGCTCTAAATAATCCTAGCGAAGACAATCTGGAATACTTCCGAATCTCAAAGAACGAAACGACAAAATTGCTCAAAAATAAAAAAAGGGAGTATCTTAAAAATAAAATAATTGAAATAGAAACTAATAGAATCGAAAATAACGTAAGAGACATGTACAAAGGTATAAACAGATCACGTAAATATGTAGGGCCCGTAACGTCTGGAATTAGGGATGATAATAACAATATTCTGACCGATCCGGTTGACATATTGAATAAGTTTAAGGACCACTTTGACAATATTTTAAATACGGGAAATTATGATCTGTGTCCTCCTTCTGAGTACCAGAGTGC